AGTGCTAACAGAACTAACAAATGACTTGTTCTTACCCATTGAACCTTTTTTATGGGATCACCAATCACAAAGGTTAGGTTGCCATCGTTGTTAATTTCGAATTGGCTTTAGTCCTATTCCCCTCGATGTTTCATAAGTTTGTTTTCTCCCTAGAGGTTTTGTTAACGCATCCACTAGGTTCACTTCTGATCTCACATAATCGATTGAGATTACTCCATCTTTTAGCAGCTGCCTTATAATATTATGTCTCAATCAAATATGTCTACTTTTACCATTAACGGTTTTATTTTTAGCCGTAGCTATTGCCAATTGGCTATCACAGTGTAGAGACACTGATGGTGTTGGTTTTTCACCTAATGGAATATTTACTAAGAAGTTTTTCAACCACTCAGCCTCAAAACCAGCCAATTCCATTGCAATAAACTCAGAATCCCTTGAGGATTTTGTTAGTATAGTTTGTTTGGCTGAGTTCCATGTTATCGCACCATCACCAAGATTAAAAATATAGCCACTAGTGGATTTTGTCTCATTTGAGTCTGAAACCCAGCTAGCATCACTGTGTCCTTCTAATACAGTGGGAAATCCACTATATAGTATACCATAGTTCATGGTACCCCTCAAGTAACTTAAAACCATCAGCAGAGCCTCCCAATGCTTATTGCTTGGGCAGTGAATATATCTGCTCAACCTACATAAGTTATGTCTGGCCTGGTATAATTCATTAAATGCAACAGACTCCTAATAATTTGTGCTTATCTAGATTGAGCAACTAGATCTCCTTCATGTTTTGTTAAATGCATATTGGAATTATAAGGAGTTCTAAAAGGAGAAACATCATAGTGTTTGAACTTTCTCAAGATCTTCTCAACATAGTGTTCTTGAGAAAGTAGGATACCATGTTCATTCCTTATGATTTTAACGCCCAATATAACCTTTGCTTTACCCAGATCTTTCATGTCAAAATTTGAAGCAAGAAAACATTTTGTCTCACACACAATATTCATGCTAGTACCGAAAATAAGCATGTCATCCACATATAAGCAAATAATCACACAATCACCATTTACAAGTTTTGTATAAACACAACATCCTACCTCAACAGTAGAGAAGCCACCACTCAACAAAACTTGGTCTAGTTTTTCATGCCATTGTTTGGGCGCTTGTTTCAAACCATATAAAGACTTAACAAGTTTACAAACTTTGTTTTCTTGTCTAGGAACTATACACCCCTCAGGTTGGATCATATAAATTTCTTCTTCTAAATCACTATTTAAAAAGGCTGTTTTAACATCCATTTGATGAATAAAAAGCTTGTGGATTGAAGCTAAAGCAATCAGGATTCTAACAGAAGAAATCCTAATCACAGGAGAAAATGTATCAAAATAGTCGACATTTTCTTTCTGAGTAAAACCTTTGGCTACCAATCTAGTCTTATATTTATCAATTGACCCATCCGAAAAATATTTGTTCCCAAAAAACTATTTGCACCTAATAGGTTTTGCTCCTAGAGGCAAGTCAACCAAAACCCATGTTTTATTCTGATTTAAAGAATCTATTTTAGCTTTAATAGCTTCTTTCAAAACTGAGAATCTGGAGAAGAAATAGCTTCATGAAAATTTTTCGGATCACCTTGTACTAAATAAGTATAAAAATCATCTCCAAAAGATGTTTCTTTTCTTTGTCTCTTACTTCTCCTTAAATTCTCACTCAAATTATCATTTGATGGTTTTTCAACAAAAGAGTTTTTAATTCTTTTAGGAACACGCTTAACTTTCAATGGAAATATATGCTCGAAAATTTTTGCATCTTTTGTTTTAACAATTGTATTAGGATCCAGAATATCACTTTTCAAAACTAGAAAATGATAAGCAGCACTTTTTTGAGCGTAACCAATAAACATGCAATCAGAAGTCTTAGAATCAATCTTTCTTCTTTTAGAATCAAGTAATAAAACTTTTGCAAGACACCACCACACTTTTAAATATTTGAGGCTAGGCACAAATCCTTTCCATAATTTATAAGATGTCTTTTTTGTTTTTCTATGGGGTATTCTATTTTGTAAAAAACAAGTAGACAATAAAGCTTCACGCCACAAATTATCAGGTGCAACAGAACTCACAAGCAAAGCATTCATCATTTCTTTCAAAGTTCTATTTTTTCTTTCTGCTATACCATTAGATTTAGGTGAATAAGGAGTTACTTCATGGATTATACCCTCTTTTTCACAAAAATCATTTAATAATAAATATTCTCCTCCTCTATCTGACCTAACTCGTTTAATTTTTTTATTCAATTGATTTGCTACTTCTGTGTTATACAAAAGAAACTTTTCAAAAGCTTCATCTTTATTTCTCAATAAATATACTTTAGTATATCTTGAAAAATCATCAATAAAAGTGATATAATATCTTTTGCCTCCTCTAGTTTGAACTTGTTTTAAATCCCTTAAGTCAATATGAATTAAAGATAACAATTCAGTTTCTCTCTGAGTAGAAAAATGTGGCTTCTTAATTAATTTAGTTTCTGTACAAAATTCACATGAAAATTATTACTTTTAATTCTATGAATTAACCTAAGATTTTGCAATCTCTTTATATATGATTTATGAGCATGTCCTAATCTAGCATGCCATATGTCAAAAGAATCCATCAAGTAAGCAGAAGAAGATGCATTTTTATGAATTTCAGCAACACTTAAAACAAACAGACCCTGATTACAATATCTCTTCCCAATGAGAACATTGTTCTCAGTCATGACAACCTTGTCAAACTCAAATGACACTCTAACCCTAGCTTTCCCAAGCAGTGCCACAGAGACTAAGTTTGCCCTAACATCAGGGACATACAGAACGTCATTCAATGCCAAGGTCTTTCCTAATGTGAGTTTTAGTACCACTTTTCCTTTTCCCTGGACCTTAGTAGTTCGAGACTTGGCAAGGTAGATGTGGTCTTCCCCTTCTTCAAAGGAGGTAAACATCTCTCTCTTTACACAAATGTGCTTAGTGGCTCCTGAATCCACTACCCATTTCTTCACATCAGTGACAATGAGAGCTTGAGAGACCACTGTAGCTATGACTTCATCATCACTGCCATCATCTCCTTCAACCAAATTCACAATTGGCTTAAGAGGATTATCACACTTTTGAGTAGCCCTTTTTCTGCATTGCACTGCATAGTATTGTGGCTTTCCACAAACAAAACAATTGCCTTTCTTTTTGAATCTGGGGTTAGAGTCCTTGCATTTGTAATCAGATTTCTTATTTTTGTTATTTTTGTTTTTGGGGTCATACCTCTTGGAGAGAGGTTTTGATTCCACCAGGTTTGCTTTGACAGTTATTTCCTTTCCTTTCGCAGCTTGCATAGCCTTTCTATTTGTGTCTTCAATTATTATGTGGGTAATTAGATCTGACAAGGACAACTATTTCTGTTTGTGCTTTAATTGTTGTTTGTAGTCACTCCATGTCTCTGATAGCTTTTCAATCACTATGCCAGCTACGAACTCATCTAGTAAGTTGATCTTCTCAGCATGAAGCTCCTTTAGCGATTTGTCATACTCGTTGATTTGAAGCTTGATATCTTTCTCTTTAGTCACCTCCCATTTGTAAAATTCCCCACCACAAATTTCTGCTTCCCAGCATCCTCGGTAGTGTACTTGAGGATAAGAGATTCTCATATTTTGTGTGCTTCCTTATAGACACAGTACACATCAAACATATTGTTAGATAAAGTGCTAATAAGAGTGTGTTTGCAAACCTTGTTAGCATGTGTCTAGATATCTTTCTTGGCCTGATCAGCATCCGGGGTTGGTTTGGAATGAGTAAGAGCACCAACTAGTCCATGCATGTCAAGGACAGAGTAAACTTGCTCTTGCCACCGCCTGAAATTCCTTCCATCAAATGTCTCTATTTTTGAAGTGTCAGGAAACGGCCTAGGAATAGGACTGCTATTGGAACAACACTGAGGCAGCATCATGGTCATTTTGAGCAGCAGTGTTGCGGGGTTGTTCCATGATGTGAATAGCTCTTAAGATTGTTGGCTGCAGCACTTGCAAAATAAATAGTTAATCTGAGTCACATCCTAAGAACGTTGTCTTTAAAAGCTATTCCGCAACCACCTGTAGATAAGGATGCGGTACTCTCCCGGATTAAACAGATCCTTCCTGTAAAACAGGGTAAGCAGAACATTAGAAAATAGTAGTAAACTCAGCAGGAAAGAGAGCATACAAGAGAGGGAAGAGAGGAGTTCAAAAACTCTAGAGCCGTGTGTCTTTGCACTTCTAGCCAATGCCCCTTATATAGGCTCCAAGATATGAACGTTTGCTTGCCTCTTAATGATAAAATTTCAGTTTTGTACGTTGAAGACATTGAATAACTTAATTGCATGATTTGAACTGGCAGAGGCAAAGAAATGAAGCATTCCGTTTTGATTTTCAAAATCATCATTTAATATATTAAAAATGTTTAAAAGCTTTCAAGGTGTTGCTCCATTTTGAATTGATGATTAAATCATCCAAACGGTGGCATTGCGGTTTCATAACGCATTGAAACCGTTTGGCACTTTAAGCGTAATAAAAACCCACAGTTTGATATTTGAAATCTTCAACACCCATTAGGAATTTTTATTGCTCCATGTTCAAGGCATTAAAAATATTCAATGTTCAGTTTTTCTTATTAATGCTCAATTTGTTTTTTATCTTCCCACATTCCTAATTAATGTAGGATCCTTTCTTTGACACACCCACAAAAAATATTATAACACCATCACTAGTGCAGTGGGAAGTACAAATTTACATCACGTACATTACTTTATCTTTATTAGAAATAAAACTAAACAAGCATTATTTCCACATAAATTCGTGTTTTCCAGGCAAGCAGTAAAGTAGCCACCAACAGCCAGAAATTTAATCAAATCAATTTAACTAAAAAAAAAGTCCAGGTTGAGTTAGGGAGGGAAAGTTAAATAATGAAACAAAAATAAAGAGAGAAAATTCTTACTAAAACCTCACCTGGACTGGACATCTTCCTTCCCCCTCAATCTTTTCAAGACGCAGGATATACCAGCATTCACTCCTGTCATGACGGCAGCTTGCACCAAAGGACCCCCAGAAAGAGCCTATGATTGAAGAAACTCACACATCACATACAGGCCGATATAACTCCTCTAACAATAGATTAGCCATGTTAACGTATTTACTATCATGCAACAACCAAAAGAAATTGTTTCTTTTGATATAAAAGTAAAACCCCATGGTAGGTACGGAGTCTAGCTTTTGTGCTGTTATATTATATATTGAAGCAGGGTGCATGCTATGAAGCTAATACAATGCCGCTCCAGTCGCCAAGGTAATTATCGTGTGCTATTCGACATAGAAAAGAGACGTCATTTCTACATTCAAATTGAAGCAACCAGTCATGTCCATAAATAAACACATATCGTGATAGGAGTGAGAAGCAATAAATAAAGACCCAACCGATAATCCAGTGCTGCCGCTAAAAGGTTTAATCATTTCCCTATTTTCAACGCAGACATCACCGCGGAAGCAGGCAACGTTTAAATGAACTAAACCCTTATCCATGACCAGGAATTAGTGCAAAAGGGTTCCGAATTGAATCTATCGGGGACACTAAAGAATAACTAGCGAAAATTGAGTATCCTCACCTGAGCTTGCTTAAGAGAGGCCATGGCTTGAGGGTTGAGAGAAGCCTCAGGCGGCGTTGGGAAAGGGGAAGAAGCATCGTCAGTGGGAGTGCCCATAATAGCACCAATAGCAGCGCCTTGGGCGGCGGCGGTGGCAGTGACGACAGCAGCCTCGACTGGCAAAGACTGCTTGGAAAGCCAAAGCTTGAAGCCATTCTCCAACTCTTTGAAACCCGTTTGGAGCAGCTCTATGGGATTCTGAAGCTGTTGAGGCGACAGCTTCGCCAGCACCACTCCCCCCTGCTTCCCTCGTTCCATTTTGATAGTTCTGAATCAACGAACCTCAACCCAGAGGTGGGTGCCTTCCACTGCTGACCGCTTTCGTGCTCGGTGCTGAAAAATGAAAATGCGAGACGGATAACGAAGATCTTTGATGTCCTGTTCCTTTTTTTTTTTTTTTGATAAGTTGTCCTGTTCCTTTTCATGTCCTTTATATCAGTGCTTTTTGTTTTTGGGTCTAGGCAATAGGACCATGGGCCGGGTCAACTTGATCCAGCTCAGGTTTATAAATTCGAATATGGAGGAAATTATATTTTAGAGTTAAATTATTGAATTTTACAGCACTTGCTATTAGATCAAAAAACCCAACAATATATTAATAATTAGAAATTTTGAAATTTTTTTTTTGAAAAAGGTTTAAGCTTTTAAAAAATAATTGGCAATCTCTTATAAGTTTATAAAATAAATTTTATAAAGGGTATTTAGATGAAAAATAAACTATAATTTAAAAAAAAATACAAAGTTTAAGATAAGTATATAAAAAAAATTTATTTCAATTTATATAAAATATTTTTTAAAGTGCTTTTAGAACTCTCAAATGGCCCCTTAATTAATTAGAAAAGAGGTAAAAGCTATTCTAGAATCCAGATGTAAATTGGACCGACTTCGATATCTCGATGAAAAATGACATTTTAATTATTGGACCTCTCTTCATCCACCTCCCTCTTTCTTCTCTTTTTTCTCCTTGGCCTTTTTTTCCAGTTTTCCTTCGGAACAGCGATAATGTTAGATATGACGGGACAACGGTCAAGTAAATTTAGAAGTGGCAACCTCACACTTGATAAAATTTTAAGGAGATGCTTAATATCAACGACCAAAAGATCCCAACGTAATGTTTCATATTCCACTACGGTTAAAATACTCAACTTTTTCTGAATAAAGTTAAGTTACATATAACCTTCTTTATTTTTAAAAATTTAAATTAAAAACCATAATATTTTATTTTTTTTATTATTAACTCTTGCCGTTAAATTTAACCGTTTTTCCATGTCAACAATAATAACAAAGCTTTTACCCACTAAGTAGGGTCGGTTACATAGATCGCACATCGCTATTGAGCATTATCTAAAACCAAATCTTTAGATATATTGTTAATTGAAAAATCTCGCTTAGTGACTTTATTAAGTGTCGTTATTGGCCTTCTTTTACTTCTTTTTAGAGGATTCCATACTATTTTGATAAACTCTTCTCACTGGTGAGTCCCAAGGTCTTCTTTGCACGTGACAAAATCATCTCAATCTGTTTTCTACTATTTACTCATCAATAGCAGTCACTCTAACTTTTTCTCGTATATATTCATTTCAGATCTTGTCTTTTTTTATATGACATACATCCATTTCAACATTCTCATTTCAACAACTGCCACTTTATGTTTATGTTGTCCTTTTAAAGCCTAGCACTCACTGTCATAAAGCATTGTTGGTCTTATAGTAGTGCGGTAAAACTTTTCTTTGATCTTATTAGGTACTGTCTGATCACAAATAACACCTGTTGCCTTTCTCCATTTAAACCACCGTGCTTGAATTTTATGACTAACATCTCCATCAATGTCACCATCTTTTTGTATAATTGATCCCAAATATTTAAACTTTTCCACTTGTGAATGAGTTGATCTCCTAAACCCTAAACCGTTTTTCCATGTCAATTTTTTTTCATATTTTTTATTAAATATCATATCATTTAAAAAATAATATTTATCATTTGACATGTAATTTTAAATAATTTTCTATTTTTATTTAAAAAGCAATCAATCAAATAAATATTTTAAATAATCTTCAATGTTTAAATATCTTATATTTTTAAAGCAATTAATTATTTCATTTTAAGTATTTTAAAAAATTTAAATTTACCTGTTTTAATCGTAAGTGTAGTTTTTTAAATGAGATGGGCTGCCATGAAAAAAACCGTTAACTTTGATAGTGATTTTAATGGTAAGGGGTTAATAATCTAAACATAAATATTATGATCTTTAATTTAAATTTTAAATACGAGGGAGGTTAATTGACCAAAATTTTACGGGAATTTTTTTTATTTTAGTCTTAAACCATAAAATCAATATTGAAGGGGAAATATTAAAGAGAAAATTGGTTGATTTTGTTCAGCTGTGAGCAAATCATTCATTCAAAAATACTTCCTTTAGTCCTAAATATAAGAACTAGCTGAAAATTCAATTTGATCTTAAATATAATGTCTTGATTTATTTTGCTTTTCATATTTATTTATTTTCTTCCAAAATAGTTTCATGATGACTATACATATTAAATTGTTTTCATTCAAATGCATATAATTAACAAAAATATTTTAGAAAAAATAATACCTATTTATTATAATAATTCACTTAGCTAGTTTTCTTAATATTTGTAAATTAATTATCAATACATTAAAATATGAATTAAAACAAAAATACTACTCATTCAGTCCTTAATATAAGACTAATGAGAAAGTTAATGTTGGCTATACACATAAGATCTATTTTACATATTTATTAATTTTTTTAAATTAATCATATTGATATTTTTCTAACAATAATTAAGTAGGAGAATGAGAGAAAAATTTTAAAAAATGTTTATATTGTTTTAGAAAAAACATATCATACCATCTTTGGTATTTAATATAAGAGCTAACTTGACTTTTAATTTGATTTTAAATATAAAGATTCAATCTACTTTATCTTTCATATTTATCTATTTTTTAAAATAATTATTGTAGTAGTTGTGCATATTAAATATTTTATCAATTAGTTGTTCTAGTTAATATACAAGATTAATAAAGATATTCTAGGGAATTCAACTCATACTTGTTACAAATAACTAATTTAACAATTTTTTTTAATTTACTTAAATTAGTCGACTAACTCTTATATTAAATACATGAAATAATATCAATTAATTTAATCTACATCTTTAATATCCTCAAATTAATTAATTAATTATATTCATCCTGCTAACCTTGCCCATAAGATCTACAGATAACAGTAACGGTATGTCAACAATAAAATATTAATTGCTGGTAAAAAAAAATCAAAGTATTAATTTGGGAAAATCCCATATAAATACCTATTAAATTCTAAAATCCCAAATAAATCATTCTAATTTCACAAAAGACAAATATGCTTACAGGTATTAAATTGGAATTTGCAAATTTTGACGAATTTTCTTCATGCCCTTTTTCTCATTTCCTTATCTTCTCTCTCTTTATCGTCTTCTTCAAGGCAGGAGATGCAGCTGAACTATTTCTATTTTTGAAACTAACCATAGAATTTCCCACACAATCTGTTTGGCATCCCTTTCAATAATTGACATTTCACTTCAATAATTATATAGACCTGCAGTTTCTGTCAATTGAATGATCTTTGAGTTTTCTAAGGTAATTACTATTTCGATTCAAATGATGGCTGCATCATTCTTTCAATGGGTTTTGTTGGACATTGGAGATGTAGTTGAAATATTTTAGGGCAAAGAAGAGAGATCGCCATTGATTTTGAGAGCACACCATTCTATAACGGGTCCTCTTCTTCAAGTAGCGGCCATTGCGGAGCTTTATTGCTTATCTTTATAAATTGAAAGAAGCCATGGGAACCAAAGTAACAACTATGAGTCATGTTCTTTAGAGAGAGAGAGAGAAGACATGACTAAATCTTCTTTTTCCTCAGCCATGGTAGCACTAAATGTAGTTACTATCATGTGACATTCTGGTTTTTGGAAAATGCTATTAGTGTAATTGTCAAACCCATTGTAAATGTTGTTAATCATATTAGTATGCAATGTATTGACATTTGTGATTTGAACGACAAGAAAATATTATAGGTATTGGTTTAATTTTAATATTAACTTGTCATTTGAATATATTTAATATGACTTCTGCCATAGGCTTGTTGGTTTTTCCTAAATATTGTCACTTTAGTAGTCTATTCCATTACACATATAGTAAATTATGAAAGATATTGATATTATGTTTATTATGATGTTTTTCTAGTGTACTTGTATACTAATTTATCAACACATTTTGACTATTCTTTAATTCCCCCAAAGGCTAGACTTAAAATAGGTTGCAAAAATCACTATGCATTTAGTAGTTTTCATTAGACAAGTTATCATTCCTATTACATGTTTAATAAAGTTGTCTGCAAATGAGCTAAAATTGGGTTGCAAATAAACAAGTTACAAATTGCTTGATGGAAATGGTAACTTGCATTATGCAAGTTGTCATTTTCGTTACTTGTTTTGTAAAATAATATATAAGTGACTTAAAGTAGGCTGTAAAAATCATTATGCAATTGGTATTTTTCATTACGCAAATTGTCATTCGTGTTACATGTTTAATAACATTGTTTTTAACTGGATTAAAATTGGGTTACAAATAAACAGGCTGCAGATCCCTAATAGAAACGGTAACTTGCCTTACGTAAGTTGTCATTCTTGTCACTTGTTTTGTAAAATAATATGCAAGTTGTAACGTCCTAAGTCTTATCGGGTTTTAATAGCCTCTTTTGGTTGATTTTGAGGATAGATTAGCAATTTAATCTTGATCTTGGTGTTTAGGTTGAATTTGAGGTATGTTGGAGGAATAGGTGAACATACCCCTCTCAGGGTATGTTCGCCGCGGCGCACCGGGGGTTCCAGGTAGGCTTTGTGTTTCGGGCAGGTTTGGCCACAGCGAAGTCATAGGGACGCCGCGGCGAAGTCGTTCAGGTGAGCGAGGCTTCCCTTTCAGGAAGGTTTCGCCGCGGCGAAGTTTTCTGGGCGAGCGAGAGTTTCCTCTCGGGAAGCTTTCGCCGCGGCGAAGATTGGTTTTCAGGCGAGTAATCCCTCTCGGGATTAGTTCGCCGCGGCGAAAGGTCCCGAATCTATATAGTCACGGGAGGGGTTCAGTGTGCGAAAATTAGAAAATCTGAAGGAGGAGAGAGAAGCTCTGCTAGGGTTTCAAATTTCTGGCTTGGAGGAGGCATTTCTAAGGATCCATTACCTCAAGTAAGTGATTTTAACCTCTAATCTACTTTCTTTCTTGGAATTTCTAAGGATTTTTGGTGGAACCCTAGGATTTTCTAGGTTGTGATGGAACTGAGGTTTTTGA